ACTCCGGTTTAATAAACTTTCAAACTAAATTTTCTTTCTTTTTTTTTTCTTTTTTTAAACAAAATAATAAAAATAAAAATAATAAAAACAAGAAAACAAAAATAAAAATCATTTAACACCAAACGTGGGTGCGTTTGTGTGTGTTAGTGGATGCATTTGAATATGTGTTTAGGGGAAAGTAAAATATATATATGTATATATATATATATATATAAAATGAAGTTTCTTACATATGCACACACTCATCATCCACATGTATTCACGTGTATACATATGCAAATATACAACGTTATGAGTGTATGTGTGCGTACGTGTGGGTGTGTGTGTGTGTGTGTGGGTGTGTGTGCATGAAAAGACAACAACAACAAGAAGAAGAAACCAAAACTTTCTGACACATTTATTTTACTAAAGATTTACTTCTCAATTCCTGGGTTTTGGTTTGTTTTTAAATTAAGTTTAATTCAATTAAATTCTTGTGATTTGTAGAAATTTTTATGCAAAAAGTTTACATTGGTTCAGCAAAAAAAAAAAAAAAAAAAATGAAAAAATAAAAGAAAAGCAAAGAAAGCACGAAAAAGAGAAACCAACCAAAGAAATCAGTATCTTATGATGATTTAAATATTTTCTGGCATTTAATTTTTGTTTATTTAATTTATTTTAGATTTCGCTTAAAGATTCAAGTGAGATTTGAAATATTATCATTTTCTTCTCATTTCCATTGAAATTGTGTAATTGTAATAGTAATAACTAGGTAGCTAGGGTGCTATGTTTACTTTATTTAAAATAAAATAAATATACATTCGGGAAGTGTTTTGAATAATTACTTTTATATTTCGTTACTTTAATTTATCTTTATTTATGTCACACTTAATAATATACACATATATATACATATATCATGCTTAAGTTGGATCTAAACAATCACCAGAATTTTGGTTCCATAAATTTTGTTGCACTATGTAGAAAAAAAACTCATATTACTGCATGGATCGAAAGTTGCTTTTTCCGTTAACCACACTTCGAGCAGCTCTTTGGACTCTTTACAAGACAACACATAGTTAAAGCAAGCGATTCCTTTAAATTTTCTATTCTACCATATATTTCACGTGCTGAACTTTCGAGAATGTTGCAAAAGATCGGCTACGAGCAATGTTTTAACATTAGAATGAAGAAAAAAAAAAATATACTCAAAAGAGTGGGGTAACTACTAAACGATTTTACACGTTTTGGTTCAGCTATTATGAACGCCAAAAAAAAAAGGGAAAGGATCAACGGCGCAGATTTTAAATATCGTTATACATGCTTCTGCTCCAGAGGCAAGCGTATATATATTTTTAATTTTTTCGCAACATTCGCAACTAATATTCTAGAGGTGAAACGGGCGGACGTACGAATGCTTAGGCATAAAGTAACCTTTATACTAGGGTTTTTGCACAACAAATGCGATGAAAGCAGCACAGTCGGGCTTATGCACTCAAACGCAACAAAAATGAAGCTGCAAATTCGAAGCGCGCTTCTTGAAAGAAAGCAGGTTGAAGGGTCACGCCTCTGCGTAGCGGCATTGCAATTGGTCTATATTGGCGATGAGTTAAAAGTTTCAATTAAATGCAAAATGAATTCCTTTCCAAGCACTTTTTTCCTTACAAAATCCCAAATACTTTTCACACAGTAGGTGTTTTTCATAACGCAGAAGTGAATGTGGATGTTATGCAATGACGTAGTTTCATTATGATGACGTTAACGTCGCGCTCATCACTCATCAGTTGCTAAAGATCTACGATAATCTGCTTAAAGTAATTTCATGTATCATGTTGTATTCCGGTAAGCTTGGCTCTGAATGAGATAAATCTTAAATTAGATTATCATTGAAATAGGAATGTATTCTTGAGACTCCTGTTTCTCTAATTTCATTCCTCTCTGAATTATTTCATAAAGCAAACGTTTCATAAAAATTTTCCACCATCGGCCGAGCGTTCGGAGAAAAAATTAATTTTTTGTTGCGTATTTGTACAGCTATGTAGATTTAATCAAAATTAGATTAAAAACAGCTGCGTATAATAATTTTTGATGTCAAATTTGTTCGTTTTTGTTGCAATCAATTTTTGTTTAACGAATAAAAATTGCATGCCATTAACTTTCTGTGTTTTTCTTCTCTTACTTTTACTTCTTCCTCTTTGTTTCGTTTTTTTATTTTTTTTTTATTTTTGGACGGCTAATATAAATTGCATTCGTTTTCGTTTTCGTTTTTTTTTTTTTGGTTTTGCTATGTGCAAGTTATTATACAGGCTTTAGTCAGTCAAAGCTTGAGAAAAGAAGTATTAATAAAACACAAGCGAAATCGTTTAATTCGGATCTTTGTTGTTTATAGCTTACGATTCAAGTCTTCTTGAGTCCAAATGTACTTTAATAGATGTTAAAGAAAGCAAATGCCCATTTAAAAATCATTAAATAAGCAAAGTAATGGAGTTAAAGGTTTTCTATTGTCTTAGGGGACGCTTTAGTAGGATTGAAATCACTTACAAGCGTTGATTGTTTTATATATATGTATATATTGGTAGGTAGGTGGGTAGTTTTATGTTTATCTTTTCCTCTTTTTTTTTTGTTGTAAATAATTTTGCAAAACACATTAGCGGATACTTTGTGCTGACCGATAAACGTAAATATATATGTAAATATATATATATGTATTTATATAGACGACATAAGTAGAGTTAAAATGTTGCAAACTGAGTAAGAAAACTAATATACCTACGTTGTGTTCGTTAATAGTGATGGTTGCACAAAAAAGGGTATGAAAAATGAATAGAGCGAACAGCTGAATATAGATTGAATTAATTAGTTCATCGAAAAAAATAATTGTGGTGTTGCTGTGAAATCCCAACATTATTTGTCACTTGCATTCACTTTACTCTACTCAGCTCTACTCTAGTTGCCATTGTCGCTGCATAGATAGTGTATTATAACAAAAGCAGTAGCATCCAAAAGCGTTGGATGGAATTTATATGGTGGTGTGTCACAGACATGAATGTGACTAAGTATTGCAATATGCAAAACAAATACACTCAACCATAGCGCATAGTGACTCTAACTATTTATATATATTGAAGTAAAATAATGGCGCCACTACAAACAAAGGGGGAAGGAAGGCACTCTATCTACCATCAATATACTAAAATAATAAAAAGCAAAAAAAAATAAAAAAATACAAAAAATACAAAAAAAAAAAGAAAAAATTGCGAATACTACCACTAACATTGCCATCGGCAGCACGCGAGCAACAACACACACACACACAACATAAGATATATTACTTCAAGTGGCATTTGTGGTGAGCCAGAGTGCACTTGATTTTTATAGTCGTGCAAAGATTTTTGCAGTTATATTGTATTTTATGTTTACAATATACACAAATACACTTAAATACATAAATATGGGTTTTCTATTCATCATTCTATCTCTTTCTTTCTTTCTTTTTTTTTTTCTTTCTATCTAACTATTTATCTATCTGTCTGTCTATCTATCTATCTATCTATCTATCTCTCTCTCTCTCTCTATCTCTCTCTCACTCTCTCTCTCTCACTCTCTCTATTCCTCTCGCCTTCCTCATTTTCTCAACACTATTCTTTTATTCATTTTTTTCTGGTTTTTTCCTTTTTTGTTTTATTTGTCTACGCTTAACACACTATATTTAAATTCTTAAAATGCAGAGAAATACTGAAATGTGAAAATTGTCTAAGCTCTTGTGAAACATTACAACGAACCCGTCGAACCCGTAGTTTACGTGTACAGACTGTACAAGCGTGTATGTATAGTGCAGTCGCGCATGCAGTTAGAGAAAACCGCGCGTAAAGTTCGTAAAGCGTATAATGCTTTATTCAAAAATCTTCGAAAAGTATTCGTTTCGTCTTTAGTTAGTTGTGTTTTATCAGTTTGCAATAATATGGAAACGAAATAGTTTTATATATAAATTTGCGTTGATTGTTTCCGTTTCCCCAAAAGATTCACTGATTCATTGATTTTATCCATTGTATGAAGTGAATCAAATTTTAGCGAATTGCTCTTAAGAGATATCCTCATACTCCGCTTACTTTACTGCCACTCACCGTTTATTTTCCATTTTGCCTTATTTATTTCTAATTTTATCCATCTCTATTCCGGCTTGTCGATAGCTTCGTCATCATATTTTTTATCTGTAAAATGCCGCATGATAGAATATTTTTCGCTCGTTTTACATACAAAAATACATTCAGCTCATACAACGTTTAACTAACGTAACGTTTGTAGTGCTTCAGCATTTACAAATTGATGTTACATATGCGATAACATTGCACTGTAGCATTGTAGTTAAAAAAAAAAACGAAACTAGAAGCAAAATGTGGAGAAACTCTATTTTAACTGTTTTTACAAGTTAGTCTGGGAATACGTCTACGATACGTCTGAAGGTTTTATTGTAGGAATCTATCAATTTCCAATAATGGTCGGTTAGTTTTTAATAGTGTTAATCAAAATATATATTCTTTTTTCTCAAAATTTGTATAGCTTTTGTCCGAAAATATAGCTTAAATTTCGTAGAAACAGTCCTGACTTATTTTTTGTTTTGGCAGGCGGGGCACACATCAATCAATGTGATCGTGAATAATATCAATTTATATATGAAGTTTTATTTATTTGATGGGAAATTCGAAATTTTCATCAGAACTGTTTAAAGATAAATATTTTTCTAAAACATGATATATGAAATCATTCCCCTTAACATCTTTATAAAAACTATTTTCATTTAAAAATACCGACTCCTTTTTGCTAATTGTGAATTGTGGTTTATAGGCGACAAGGCAAAACTAGTGATACGAGTATTTATCTTAAGCTACCTAATATTTATTCACTTGCGCTAGAAACAAAACTTTAAAGCATATGGCAATCATTGTCGGCGCTTCATTTCTACATTTCCTTGTCAGAAATTTTCCTTAGAGCAAAATCTCAACGTGGTTTTGCAATTTCACCATTCTTTTAAACCATTAATCACTCAGTTTCGTCGCAAGAAGAAAGACGTGGGGCAGGGCAGTCAATTTAAACAAAGAAAACATCAAAATCAAAAATAAAGAAAAAAAAGGTGTAGAAAATGGATAAACCAAGTGGATCTGCTGGACGGTCACGTGGTATACGGGCTGGTTCTGGTTTCTCGCAAGGTCATCCTGGAGCGCGTGGTAGACGCCCACCACAAGCGGGCGCTGGCGCACCTCCGGTATCGTCATGGGGAAATCCGAATGTAGGTAGTCGAGGAACGCCAGCAGTTAGCGTTCAGCCGCAACCGGGTACCAGTACAGGAAGTTTTCAGCAACGCCCGCAGGCATCGGCTGTTATAGTCCGCGCCGTCGCTCATCGTAATGTTCCACCTATGGAAGGCGCAAAAGGACAATTTGTATCAAAGGAAGACAATCGCGGAGCGGTAAGAGATAAACGGGTTTTAACTGAAATGGTTCAATCTTGGCCGAAAACTCTGGTCACTAAATGTGGATTTAGTGGCCGTAACGTAGTGGCACAAGATAACTACTGTAGAGTGTTAAAAAAACCCATATTGTCCTTTCATCAATATCGGGTGGATTTCAGCCCAGATGTGGACATGGTACGCCTGCGTTTCGCTTATTTAGCACATCATAAAGATATTTTTAGTGGTTATATATTTGACGGGACCGTCCTATTTTGTACGGTATACTTAAGCGACAAAATGGTCAATGGAGTCTTGGAGTTGTTGACCAAAAATCGGGAGGGGGAGACCATCCTGATCAAACTAAAACATGTCGGGATTGTCGATGTCACCGACAATTTTCGCTTAAATCCCCAACGCCTCCTAGAACGTTTACGCAATTTTTTTAGCCGCTTGCAAGAGAGAGAGAGCGTTGAAGTTTTTAATTCTTGGAATAGAGTGGTTGACAATGCTTTAGTCGAAGTACCAGCTCGTCTTCTACCAAGTGAGCAAATACTTTTGCATAACTATAAGGTAACGTGCAAAATACAAAATATATAGATATAATAAGGTTGATATTATACAAAAGTATATTTATAGTTATTTTGAGAAAGCAAGCGTTTTTTAAAACAAGTGAACTTCTCTGGAGGTATTTCGGTTTTAGAGAAAGTAGAGTTGCATGTCTAAAGCGGCATTTGGGGCACGATGGATACTTTCGGCCACCAAGAAAGCTAACTTATGGGCATACTGGCAAACTGCTGGCACACGCAACGTACCGGACCATTTATAATACAAATGAGTCATTTTGTAAGTTAATATTTGTATTTTATCAGCTGGGAGACCCATAGTATCAAGTATTACATTGTAACTTGTTGGCGAAACCGTACCTTGAAAATAATAATAACGTTCCTGCCGGAACGTTACGATTTTTCTTGGTATCGCAGTCTAGGCGTCCAGGTAAGGTCTCGCCAACTAGTTACAATGTAATGCTTGATACTATGGGTCTCCCAGCTGATAAAATACAAATTTTAACTTACAAAATGACTCATTTGTATTATAAATGGTCCGGTACGTTGCGTGTGCCAGCAGTTTGCCAGTATGCCCATAAGTTAGCTTGCTTGGTGGCCGAAAGTATCCATCGTGCCCCAAATGCCGCGTTAGACATGCAACTCTACTTTCTCTAAAACCGAAATACCTCCAGAGAAGTTCGCTTGTTTTAAAAAACGCTTGCTTTCTCAAAATAACTATAAATATACTTTTGTATAATATCAACCTTATTATATCGCCTTTAAAAATTTTGTATACGTGAATTAATTAATACATATAATTTAAGGTGTATCTAATGAAAATTCGTAAA